AGGAGCTCAGTGAAGTCCAGCGTGGAAGTGTGATAGGATGCCACCTGTGCAACAAATCCAATCGTGAAATTTCCTCACTCCTAAATATTCCACAGTCAACTGTCAGCTGTATTATAAGAACCTGGAAGTGTTTGGGAACGACAGCAACACAGCCACAAAGTGGTAGGCCATGTAAACTTGTCCAACATCAGTGTGTGACCTCACAAATGCGCTTCTGGAAGAATGGTCAAAAAATCCCATAAACACACTCCTAAACCTTGTGGACACCCTTCCCAGAAGAGTTGAAGCTATTATAGCTGCGAAGGGTGGACAGACGTCATATTGAACCCTATGGATTAGGAATGGGTTGTCACTTACAGTAAGTTCATATGCGAGTAAAGGCAGGTGAGCGAATACTTTTGGCAATATAGTGTGCTACACCTTGCAGGAAAAGCTCATTAAACATCCTAGCTCAGCACCCAAAGGATCCGCCACATCTTCAAAGCCTTCTTAAAAATAAAAACTAGCAGGGTCAGGATGAGTCAATCCTTTAGGATGATGAAGGTGGAGATGACAATCTATTAGGTCATACAATTCAAAAGTAAATGTCGGCATTGTTCAACGTTCTCTACTTTGGTAATGAAACATTTCAGGAATAAAATTAAGTTCACAAACATCAAGTTCCCAACAAGAATTTTGTTTGACTGTATTAACCAAAATCTGCTTTGCACACTTTCCACCTATTGATTCTGTCATGACACACAAAATCTATCTATCCCCTTGCAACTCCAAACAAAGCTCCAATAGATTCATTCATTCATACATACATTCATTCAATTTCTATGGCTGCCCATTTCTGTCAGTGACTGACTTGGCCAATTAGTAATATAGCCAGGAAACAGGACTCTTGGCACATTCAGCACGCCAGGCTTGGAAACATAGCCAGGTTTTTAAGGCCTTATGAAAGGCTAAAGAATTGGGACCATTCTGATATCCGAAGGGAAGATATTCCCTAGAGCAGGAGCCATTGCTGAAAAGGCTTATCTTCTGGCCACAGCCAACTGACATTCTTTGGCCTGGCCCTGATAGGATCCATAGCATGCCCATTCTGCTCAACCCGGTTGGACATGTAAAGACTCTTGAAAAAAAGGTGATTTATCAGTCATCTGTTACTTATCAGTGATCTGTAATAAACTGTAGTCCATTCCAACAATTATATTAATTGTTCACAGGATTTGATGACAACGTAGACCTGCAACCAGATCATATCACAAAACGAACATATACACACACAATCCTTCAACAAATGCAGTTGTCAATAGCATTGCATAAGAATGCAATGACATTCTGGCTTGTACCAGAACAATATACAGAAAAGAATATATAGGGTTGTTGAGTCTTTGGTGCCCTCTGAGCTTCATGCCTGTTTGTTTCATTACCAACTAGATAACATTATCAATGCTAGTCCTGCACTTAGTCCCTGATGATGTTTCCTTGTTGGGTAACAAAATGTCTGCAAGCGAATTACCAAGCTCAGAAAGCACCAAAGACTCCATATTTCAACCCTGAGCTTCTGACATTCTCTTCTGTTGCAAATAGTAGTTATTTCAGAAATGGCTTTTTCTACAGAGAACAGTCCAAGTGTGATGTTCTATTAAGCAGAACTCCACTGCTTAAGTTGTCAAAAGTTGTCATTCCCCTACCCCCAAAAAATTGTCTGCAGCGTGAGACAAAATAATCAGACACCACGATTCGTTCCGCTTGCTGAGGCTCGAAGGAATCTGATGGTTTCCGCTCTTAATAAATTTTGTAAAGGTGGGAAGATTGTGCTAATTGTGAGTTTTGCACAGTGTTGCTTCCTCTTCTGTCCCCACTTTGTTGGGCATTATTTTTCCCTTCCATATTTCTGTGAGACAGAAGGGGAAAAGAATAAAAGATCACGTGAAGTGTTAATACCACTTTATAATGTCTTGGTAAGGCCACACTTGGAATACTGCATTCAGTTTTGGTAGCCACGATGTAGAAAAGATGGTGAGACTCTAGAAAGAGTGCAGAGAAGAGCAGCAAAGATGATTAGGGGACTGGAGGCTAAAACATATGAAGAACGGTTGCAGGGACTAGGTATGTCTAATTTAATGAAAAGAACGACTAAGGGGTGATATAATAGCAGTATTCCAATATCTCAGGGGTTGCCACAAAGAAGAGGGACTCAAACTATTCTCCGAAGCACCTGAGGGCAGGAGAAGAAGCAATGGGTGGAAAGTAATCAAGGAGAGAAGCAACTTAGTACTAAGGAGAAATTTCCTGACATTGAGAACAATTAATCAGTGGAACAATTTGCCTCCAGAAGTAGTGAATGCTCCAACACTGGACGTTTTAAAGGAGATGTTGGATATGCATTTGTCTGAAGTGATGTAGGGTTTCCTGCCTAAGCAGGGGGTTGGACTAGAAGACCTCCAAGATTCCTTCCAACTGTTATTCTATTCTAAAAACGTAATGAGGGAGTGGGGGGGGGGGCTGCAATAACCAGGCAAAGACAAAAAAAAGTGAGACAAAAAGCCTGTACACTGGTGGTTGTCCTAATATTTGCAATAAGCCTGGGCACTAAGCTAAAGGTAACGCTACAAAATATCTGTGGTTTTTTTTAAATCTGATTATGCATTTCCCCATTCTCTGCTGTTAAGAGCTTGGGCTATAGCGCTAACGTATTCTGCACTTACTCAGAAGACAAACTTCTTGCCTATCGGATCTGGGAGTCTCTATTCTCCCCCCTGATGGCCACATTTGAAGAGAGGATTGATTTGGGCGGCAAGAGGGTGTGTGTGATGTCTTGTTTCTCTTCCGCTTCGTTCATTCCCCCCCCCTACTAGGGTTTGCAAATGGTTTCTCCCTGCTTCTAAGGAAAAATGAATTGTCACTGTCACGTGACCCCAAGAATCCGTTGCTAGGAGACGAGTAAACGCTTACCTCCCCGAGGAAACTTGGACTGTCTGGGAGAAGAACGGGGTAAGGAGGCGGGAACCGGGGTGGCGGGAGTGATGGAGGGTTTGATCCCGGAGAAGGGAACATGCTCCTACCTTCTCGCTGCCTCTGCCACTGGGTTCCTTCCACCCGAAAACTCCTCCCTCCTTCCAGGGTTTTTGCTAGCTGGGATGATCTCCAGGATCAGATCTTGTTCCTGTCGAAATTTGATCCCAGGATGCTGATTCCAGTTTTTGTGTGATGGAAGGATGTGGATTCTGTACAGGCTTAGGGGGTATTCCCAGAGGTGCTTTTTCCCCCCTTCAAGAGGCAACTGGACTTTCTGGTTTTTCTTTGAAGACGTTTTGCTTCTAATAATAGAATAGAATAGAATAGAATAGAATAGAATAGAATAGAATAGAATAGAATAGAATAGAATAGAATAGAATC